TGTCTATTTTTTCAATATTGACCGTTTATCTTTGCCGTTCTTGCTAGCGAACCTCCATTTCGACCAGCTTCCTCGTCACTTTCCATGCCCTCAGTAAGTTTTGCGCGCCGCGTGTGGCTGGATAGTGTCTTTGCCGCGCATCTTTTCTTTTTTAGCGCTTACCGGTATACATCCGTATTCTGTTAAGACCATTTGGAAACTCTACAGGCTAGGCATTCCGGCGTTCCTTGATGGGACGGCCGGACACTAGGGGTTGCGTGAGATGTTGTCTTGCAGGCTGCAAGCCGCGCTATTCATGATGTTGCGGCAGCCGCAACTTGCCGCGGGCATTGCGTGTGGCCCCCAAAAGTGTTTGGACCTTAGATGGCGGATTGCTGGGTTTGTGGTTGCGACAGAGCTGACGAGGAAGAGCGCCATGGGCCCGAAGGGGGATCTCCTGATTGGGGTATTGATGGACAATGTTGCCATGTGCTTGCGATTTGGTTCTAGCCGCTGTCCCCTGTCGATCATTGTGCAGTTCCAGTGCACCTGGACCTGGCTGGGCTGGACCATGCTGGATTGCGTCGAACCTCGAAAGAGGCGAAGCTGGCATCGCTGATTGCAAAGGGCATGGAGACGGAGAAGAAGAAGACGAAGACGGGAGAGTTTGCTGGAAAGATCATTGGTGAGGACCAAGGGTTTGGGAAACAAAGAGAGGGAAAGGATTCTTCTCCCTATTGAATTGGTTTCAAGAGATAAGTAGAAGATGAGTGCAGGTAGGTGCAGAGCGCAGACCTATCCAAAGTTGGGTGGAAGTGTTCGCAAGGGGCTGCATTCAAACCCTCTCAGTCTCTTGAGTGAGGAAGGAGGGGCGTTTTCCCCAGCAGGGCCGGAGGGTGTAGCTGTGCATTGTTGAAAGACAATGAGTAGAAGAGTTTCACGAAGACTCGTTTGCGCAACCCGGAGAAGGAGTGTCCTTGTGAACGCGAATGTGACATGACACATATCTATCTATTTGTATAAATACATCTATATATATATACAGAGAGAGACAGACAGATGAAGACATACAAGTGTCAACAAACAGCAGACATCAGAGTAATGTACAGATTACTGTGCAGTGAAAATAATCAAACCATTGCGGGCCGTAGACTTGCTACTCAAATTCAAACCCCAACCAATGGAACTGAATACAAAAAATTGTCATGGTACAAGAGTTGTATGTCCTTTCAACTTGGCACATTGCAGTTGTTGGCTCGAAGTTAGATCTCAGCCCTGCAACTTGCCATGGTCAATCATGTATCGCCAAGTCATTGAGCAAGATCAGAGCAAGTGACTTCATCGGGAACCTCTATTTCTTTGCAAAGACAGTCGAAACATGGGGAAATCAAAGGCTGAAAGGTGAAGGACTTGTTGTTTTTGAAGGCACAAGCGGCCACTGATGGATTTTCGTCAGTTTTTGGGAGGACTCTGCAGGACTCAGGCTGGTATGTCGCAATTTTACATACACACCACTGGTATCTTGCCCTTCAAGGAACGTGTTGCTTCAGAAGATGTTGCTGTTTTTCCAGTCTGTTGCTAGCGAGCAGGGTTGAGCTGCATGTTTGAGAGGGATGGTTGACTTGCATCTTGTCACAGATCCAAAAATTCGAATTTGCGTGCATTCATATGTGACATGCGACAGGCTTGTGACTGACAGCTTGCTCTGGATCAGAAACGTGTCCAACCCAAGGCATGGGGTGGCAATGAGGTATTGATTGAAGTGTTGGCAAAGTTGAGGGGTGTGGAGCTTTCCCTGTTGAAACTGGACACTCCGGTGACATTACTTTTGCGTTATGATGTCAAACTGTCAACCTAGTAACTTGCTCAGCTTCAGTTTTGCCGTCTGTCTATTTGGGATGCGACTTGTTTCTATATTTATATATATATTTTGTATATACATATCGGCGTTGTCATTGGGTAGCTGGGACCCGTGAAATCAGGTTTGTCAATGGCAATCTCTCAGAAAGGCATCGGACGACAAAGAGACAAGTCTCCGGGAACACGACCATTCTATAGCCGTTCCTGACAAACAAATTTGTGATACTTATTGTGGGTCCATGACCGCAGATGGTTGCATCTCCGGTTTTGGAGGGACAAGATTTTGGTGTCCCTCAGTCGTTTTGGGGGTCCCCCATTGTACTCTCTTGGGCCGTTGAGGTTGCCGTCGGTAGAGAAGTGAACCTCAACAAGACATGGCGCCAGCAATGCTCCGCCAGAATGCGCCCAAAGCCCTGGAACAGCACCGTCCAGCAGCTTCGCGAAATCTAGACACGGGACCCAAGGAACAAACTTGTGAAAAAAACAACTGTAAGGTGTCCAAAATAGCAGTGCGCGGAGAGAGATATCTCGAGAACGCTTTCTTTCAATGACTTTGACGTATGTCCAGTTTTTTTTGGTAACAACTATATAGTCCATTTGAAACCAGGAGGGATCCAGTGAAACAACGTGATCACAGAGGGTTGAATGCTTTGCTTACTCCAAGCTGCCGCATCCAGCAAGTGGCCTTGCCACTGAGATGTAAGCCCATTTGTTCTGATTGTTGTTTGCAAGGGTAAGCATGGTGACATCGAAGTCCAGCGAGCGTCGGGATGAAGTGAGGACACATGAACCGACAGATGAGCTACATCGGAAGATATTCGAGATGGGGATTGCCAGATTTCTCGATCCGTCCTTTCCTCAATTCCTACATACTCCACGGCTACATTGATAAAATCCAATAGAAGTGTGCTTACCTCGCTGCACCTTTGTCACCACGAACAATATCCTCAAGATGCCTGAATCTATCCTTGATGTCAGCATCTCTTCATTAATTTCCCCTTTCAGTTTGTTTCCTTGGCATTAACTTTACATCATTTCAATAGATCACGCAAACCCCATTGTTATTATCTGAATCTGTTATGCAAACAAATAGTGCTAAAACACACACATTGTGTTTTTGATTGTATTCTAAAACAACATCGAGACTGTTGTGTTTTTAGAAGAGCACAATCAGGTGTTGGACCTTGCTACTTCGACAAGCCTGTGGGTGGTGTGTGAACCCCTGTAGGTCGAAAGGGCAAACCAAAGAAGTGCAATGGAGAGGTGAAGCACGCAGCAAAGGGCATCGCTACTAGGAACAAGGACGCTACTAGTAACAAGTGCCACGCTAGTAGTAACAAGTGCCTTACTAGTAGTAACAAGAAGCTATTAGGATCAAGGACGCTACTAGGACCTCCTGGCCTTGCTACTAGGAGCAAAGACGCTACTAGGAGCAAATCTCGCAATGTAATGCAATGTAAGTAGCGTCCTTGTTCCTAGTAGCGCAGGAGCTACTAGTAGGGCGTCCTTCCTCCTAGTAGTGAACCAGATCCACTCCCTTTCCTTTGGAAATGATAGGTGTGACCACATTCAAGTCAGTCACACCGACTGATCCACCACTGTCCCAGCAGCATGCTTTGAGGTCTTCAGCCATAGTAAAAGGGTAAAAGGTCCTGGAGCAGGCCTTCCCCTTCCCCCAAAGTTTCTAGAACGTTTTCAGGTTCCAAAGGTTCCAGGTTGCCTTGGTTTCCAAAGCGCCCAAGGTTGCCAATGTTTCAGAGCATTCACATGGAACAATGAATATCTAGAGAGTGGTAACAACTATGCGATAAACACTTTAAGTGCACGTGAAACGCTTTGACTTCCAAGCTTGAAACGCTGGGACACTAAGCAAAACGAAATGGGGGACTGACAAAGAAGGCAGTGCATTCTATTGTGCTTCTAGAGTCTTTGAACCGTCCTTTCCTACCTTGTCTTCCTACCCTCCTACCCTCCTATTCGATTACTCTCCTACTACCCTCTTACTCTTTTACCCTCCTACTCTCCAACCTTTCATCCTCCTACCCTCCTGTCCTCCCATTCTCTTGCACTTTCGGGCCCTGAACCCATAACTGCACCCGGATATTCGGTTGCCAAGGGCCCAAGGGTAACGTCTCCCATGCGCGCTCCCTCATGCCCGACCTGGAGGACGACAGCAAGCGCGCTCAAACACGAGTACTTCCTTTGTTACCAGTAGCTTCTTGTTACTGATAGTAAGGCACTTGTTACTAGAAGCGATGCACTTGTTTCTACTAGCTTCTTGCTACTAGTAGTTTGCCAGAATCTGTGCGCGAAGTTCCCTGGACAACCCAATCCAGTGGCTAAACCAGTGGCTGCATCGTGGCTAAACTTGCAACGAATGAGCCACCTGTTTAGCCACTGGCTTGGGCTGTCCCATTGCAAGCAGTGGCCTCAGTCTTTGTCCGATGCTTCTGAAATTAGTTATGGCCTCCACCCTGATAGCGGTGGTCTCCAACCCAATCGAGATCCAAGCAAAGCAACATGCCGTCTCGTTGCATCCTACAAAGGATCACTTTTTCTGTCGTTGTTTTTTGCATACAGATTGTCGTGCAATATGCAGCAGGAGCACCTTTTCTGTCGATAGCGGGGAAGATCCGAAGGCCTGGACTTACTTTCTGGATCAGTTCTCCTTCAAAGCTTGGGTCGTCAGTGTTGGTGAAAGGTTTGTCGCGGCTGCTGGTGTTTTGTGTCTTCGCCTCGTTTTGACAGGCGAAGGCTGCGAAGCCTTGGAGCTTGGAGCTTAGCGATGCAAGAGGCGACGCAGCGCGATGAGAGAACCGAGAAAAGCGAGAAATGACACAAGAAGAGAGAAAAACGAGTGGAAGATAGGAAGAGATGGGAAGCAATCCTCAGCTATGTATTTTCGACCGGCTGTTGGGGTGCGTCT